AATAATTGTTACTTTGAATGAATTATTGTTAAAACCCGAATAGATACTTGATATTAATAATTAAAATCACAGGTCTAATGGAACAAGTGTATAAAAAAAAACCATTCCAAGTTAACAAAAATTTACTCGAGCTTTAATAGGTTAGAAAAACGGATAGGATGAGCATAATTATACGTTTTAGTCTTTTATTACCAAGTGTCCATTTGACTTTTAAAGTTAACTTATTCTAAATTAACAATAGTCCATTTGGGTTTTAACAAGCTAAAAAATGGTTAAGATGGATTTAATTATATAATGGTTAAGATGGGTTTAATTATATAAGTGTTAGTTATTTATTAACAAGTATACATTTAAATTTTTTCAATAATTTATTCAAAATTAACAATAATGTATTCAAGTTTTAACAAGTTAAAAAAATTAATAGGATAGACTTAATTGTACGTATTAGTCTTTTATTAACAATTATCTATTTAAGTTTTGACAACAATCCATTCATGATCAACAATAATACATTTGAACTTTCTACAAATACAATGCATGAAGTTTTAAAGCTTTTAATTTGTAATTGTTCATGTTAAATTAATAAGTATTATTTGTAAAATAACAAGTGCTGTTTAAGAATTAAGAACACACCATTATTTATAACATGAAAGTGGTTAGAAACTTTGTTTACTAATATTTTTTTTTGCCATGTATAATTGAAAAGCTCAGTGGCCAGAATATTATAGGATCAAATCCTCCCTTAACTATCTTTACCAATTATACTAGAATAAGAGTGTCACCAATGCCGGAGCTCTAGTGACCCTGGTAATGGGAGTGGCTCCCAAGGTGGTTCGGCAGCCAGCACCTACAATAGTGGGGGTGGCTTTTTTTTTTTATAACTTTAGGAACAATTTGGTCTTTTGATTTAAACAATTAATATCAGTCAAGAACCAAGAGATTGTAATGCAATTTTAAAGTCTATGAGTTTTTTATTGATATAAATTTTGTCTGGTAGTCCTTGACTGCTATTTTTCCTAGCATAAATTTATTTTTTCGTCTCTTAATTAGCTTTTTATAACTTTCTTAAATTGATTATTGCAGGAATTCCCCATAAAGAGCGCGCTAGATATTAATCTCTATGGTGACCATACATCTAGCATAAAAAGAGAACACCTGGAGAAGAACATGAATGGGCTCACAGTTTATGAGGTGAACAAATTAAAAATGCAACTTTGTCCTCTACTTTGAAAAAGATTATCATAATACTAACGAAACAATGCCCTTTAAAGTAAACTCTTGCTCGAATCACATTGTATGTTTCACACAGGCACTTGATGGCAAGAGATTATTCATACTAGATCATTATGACGCATTCATGCTATATTTGAGGAAAATAAACGAAACTTCCAGAAAGGCATATGCAAGCAGGACAATCCTTTTCCTCCAAAACGATGGCACTTTGAAGCCATTAGCTATTGAGCTGAGTTTACCTCACCCTGATGGGGATCAATTTGGTCCAATCAGTAAAGTTTATGTGCCTGAAACTGAAGGTGTTGAGGGTACCATTTGGCAATTGGCTAAAGCTTATGTTGTTGTAAATGACACAGGCTATCATCAACTTGTCAGTCACTGGTAATCTGCTTTAATTTCTTACGGCCGTAGCATTATATATTCAATTCTAGAATATATGATAATGAAACCATATATATAAAGCAGTTACTATCTTTATTATTATGTTTTTTTTTTGGTTTGGTTTCATAGGCTAAACACTCATGCTGTGATGGAGCCATTTGTGATAGCTACACACAGGCAACTCAGTCAACTTCACCCTATGCATAAGCTTCTTCACCCTCATTTTCATGACACCTTGTTTATCAATGCACTCGCTCGCCAAAACTTGATCTCTGCAGATGGAATTATAGAGACCTCATTCTTGCCTGGAAAATATGCCATGGAGATGTCCTCTGTGGTTTACAAGAGTTGGAATTTTCTTGATCAAGCCTTACCTGCTGATCTCCTCAAGAGGTTAATCTTATTATAAAACCCTTGTTTCCGCAATACCATCTTCAAAAGTTGATAACTTACCAACATTTATTTCAAAAAATTTCAGAGGAATGGCAGTAGAGGATCCAACCGCTCCTCATGGGCTTAGCCTTGTGATAAAAGACTACCCTTACGCTGTAGATGGACTGCTCATATGGGATGCTCTTAAGACTTGGGTTCATGACTACGTCTCTTACTACTACGAGAATGATGACATGATTAAGCAGGACCCTGAGCTGCAATCTTGGTGGAAAGAGCTAGTAGAAGTGGGTCATGGTGACCTAAAAGACAAGGACTGGTGGCCTAAGATGCAAACTCGTCAAGAACTGATTCACTCTTGCACTATTATCATATGGATAGCCTCGGCTCTCCATGCAGCTATCAACTTTGGACAGTACCCATATGGGGGTTATATCCTGAACCGTCCTACTCTCAGCAGAAGGTTGATGCCCGAGAAGGGAACTCCAGAATATGAAGAGATGGTGAAGAATCCACAGCTAGCTTTCTTGCAAACAATCACACCAAAATTTGAGACTCTTCTTGATCTTTCAATTATAGAGATACTGTCAGGGCATACCACTGATGAAGTCTATCTTGGGACAAGGACTATTCCTTATTGGACATCTGATGTGAAGGTGTTGGAGGCTTTCAAGAAATTTGGAGATAGATTGGTAGAGATTGAGAAGGTATTGATAGGGAGGAATGAAGATGGGACACTAAAGAATAGGGTTGGGCCAGTGAGGATGCCCTACACTCTGCTCTATCCTAGCAGTGAACCAGGACTCACGGGAAGAGGAATTCCAAATAGTATATCTATATGAAGCAGCTGCTTTAACTATGAATGGAACTATTAGTGTTATGTTTTGATATTGTTGTTTGTTTCAAGTGCTCCTGTCTGCCGAAAAATAAAAGGGGTCATCTATGTATTTGGCTCTTGTAACGTTTCATATATAATAAACAAGGCAAACTGTTTACATACATGCTTATCAACTAATTGTACATGTTGAGGGTTGCGTGGTTGTTGGAATTTCGTAATGATGAGCAAGGATGAGAGAAGTGGGTGAAACAACGAAGATATTTAACTTTGCAGGAATCTGAATCTCTCAAAAACATACCACTTATGACCTCAGAGAATGTTCCACCAAGGATCTACAGATGAGGAAAATTGCAAATTGTAAACCCAAATCTAATATCTTACAGGCAATAACTATGAATTTCAAAATTACAAATCCAGAGGTTATAACTGACTGAATCTTAGATCTGACATGGCCTTTTTGTATTAGATGCTTAGAAGGAGCTCAAGAATTTCTTCTAAACCTGTTTAACATTCAAATGTAAACAAGCTCAAGCCACTTTTGATGAAATCTGTAAAGGAAGGGGAAGACCAATTCATCAATAACTAAAGTAAGGACATGGAAGAAGAAGCCCATTCACCAGATAAAACCAGAGAAAAAATGTAGCCGTTAGAAGTGTTTTCCAATTAAAATGGAAGACATACAGATAGCGCCGAGGACACTTTCGTCTACTTTGTCTCAACAGCTTAGCAATGAGAAGTAGTAGATGGTGCAGAATAGGTCCCTCACCCTGAGACAATGTAAGTTGACAGGAGACTGATTTTCATACAATTCAATTTTGACGGATAAATAGCCAACCTTTTTTATTTTTTTTTTAAAAAGAAAAACTAATTTTTTTCCTCATGTCTTGAGGGTGAGGGTCAAATATGCATCAAAATACTTCTTGTTTTGGCTACATATTCCACTCATGGCCAATTATATGAAATCTCTTCCATTTATGGCCTAAATAATAAGGTTAGTTAATGTCATGAGAATAAACAAATATTAACTTTCATTAGTTCAGCACTACGACAGAGAATGGTCATGCATATGTCGCTTCCAACAATGTGGTTAATTTGAAGGCGATGGGAATCAGGAAATGTAAGAATTTTCAGTAGTTCAACATTGGTCAAGCAAGCCAATATATGATGTTTTTTTTTTTGGTAAGTTACATATAGATCCCATGGAAGGAAAACATTTACAAATAAGTCTCATGAATTAAAAAAAAAAAAAAAATCACATCTAGTCCTCCTCAAAGGAATTAATCACAGATAAAGATCAATACAAAAAGAATTATTGTTAAAATTGAAACATGACTTTTTTTTTTAAATGAGACTTATTGTTGATTTTTATCTGTGATTTATTCCCTTAAGAAAAAGTGAACGTGATTCTCCTTTCAAAAAAATACAACCAAGTCTTTTAAAACCTTGTTGTAAATGAATTGTGAATAAGGATAAATTGAGTTGTATATTGTGCGACTCAATTGTGAATTTCATCATGTGACTCCATTTTTATCTCAAGTTCTTTAGACATTATGTTTCAATTATGAACATTTTATTTAGTTGAATTAAGTGTTTTTACATCATTAACTCCATATCTTTTCAGTGGGGAAAAAAAAAATTTCAGTTGTAAATTAGGAAATTTCAATTGTAATAAAAATATTAGAGAACCAGTTGTAAATAATGAATTTTCATTTGTAAATTATGAAATTATAGTTGTAAATATGAGATAACCAGTTGTTAGTAATATATTGAATCAAGTAGTGAATGAAACAACGCCAAAAACAATAATCTAATACCTCATGTCATCACGTTTACACCATTGAGAGGACAAGTTTTTCAGAAGTATGAAGTATTCTCATACCATTTAAATCCAGAATTTTTAGTTGTTAAAAAGAATGAAATTTCAGGTGTAAATTAGGAAACTTCGTTTGTAAATTAAGAAATTTCACTTATAAATTATGTAATTGCAGTTGTACACGAGAGTTGTCAAAAAACGAAATTACGGTTGTAAATTAGAAAATTTGAATTGTAAATTTGAGACGACAAGTTATAAATACCAATCGTTCTTCAAGATGGTATTTCAGTTGTAAATTATAAAGTTTCACATGTAAATTAAGAAATTAAAGATGTGGAATTGTAATGTCCATATGACTGAAATGACTTGCATAAACTTTGAGAAATCATAATGTAAGACCATATCCAGAATAGTCTCGAAAAACAATGATGTGAACTTACAATCTCTAAATTTGTCTCAAAATAATACAAAAAACTAAAGACATCCAAAACACTTACAAAAGTAGAAAACCATAAATCCAGAACACTAATAACAACATAAGCCAGAAACAAGGTCAATCACCTGCATAAATCATATGTTCAGATCAAACTACATCACGTTTTGTACAGAAGATAACTTGTAAAAACACGTGAATTTACTTGAGCTTGTCCTTAATTTGCAGTCATACTCTTCAATATCGCTCAGAAAAATATTCATCGCCCATCCAAAGTTCCAAATCTGAACAAGGAAATTAGTGGAAGGATGAAGGAACACTCCTTTATTGGCAGAAAGGCTCAGCTCTAACAATCACATAATGAAAGAAGGGAAGCACAAGCAAACAAAATAACAAATAACAAACAGGACGAGAAACAAAATAATCTCAATCAAGGCATGCATAAACTCAGAAACAAAGCAAGTCAACTCAGATTCATCATACAAGGAAAGGAAAAAGTATGATCCTGTGTTGTTATAGCAAAAACAAATCAATGTCCTAAAACTCATAGGAGCTACCTAGTTAATAAGAAAATAGTCGTCGGGCTTCCAGGATGAGAGACATAACGGAAGTTGAGAATATATGATCCTATAATTCTCAAGTAAAGGCAATTACTCATAGCATTGCAGTATTTATGTTTTCCATTAATATTATAACATGAAATTGATGAGTATGATCAAAGCATATGACATGCCATTTCTTATGACTAGTATTACTGCACCATTGTTACTTGTATAAGATCAAGAGAAGAGGGTGCTGCAAAGAATTATATTCAAAATGAAATTGAATTTACATATAATGACTAAATTGCCTCACTAAGCAATTTACCTTGTCTATATTCACACTCTGCATAGGTGCTTGACACACCAGAGTAATAAGATCCGTCTTAACAAGATTTGACATCCTAGTGTTTGGAAATAAGCGCCATGCTCCGGGTATAAACGTGACAAATCCTGATCAACAATCCTCTCCAGCTCCGCATTACGAAAACTATGTTCACAGGCTCAAGGTTAATAACCTTTCCAATCTGAAAACGATCAGGCATATACTGCACAAACTAAAACGCCAATTCATATTATTGGGAGAATAATTCTGCAAAATAACATCACAGTAGCGTACCACTTTACCAGGCTGCATTTGGATTTTCATTTTCGTTGCAAAGTTGGGGGATCTTTTCCTCCTCAATTCGTATATGTCATTTGCTTCAGGCTTAACAAAAATACATAAAACTTTTTTTATGGAATAAAGGCAATATCACTATCAAGCCAGGACTCGAGAAATTTTGAGGAAAAAAACTAAATCTTGTTTAGAATCACAAACGAAAAGAATAAAAACTAAGAGTTAACGCTTACATATAAAACAAGAAAGAAAAAAACTGTTGAAAACATCCCTAAAAAATTTGAACAGCTACATCATCAGAAAGACCAAAAGGGAATACGTTGGAATATAAATGATAGAAAATTTCATCAAAACAGAAACAAAATGGGGAAATAGAAACAGAACAGAGCCTGCCTTGATTGACTGGATCCTCAGAATAGAACAGCACAAAGAAGAATAAAGAGAGAACTTGAAAGACCAATGCATGCCAACAAGTTGCACGACAGAGGGTTTAAAATAAAAGAAAACCTGAGAGACCAGGAGATGGGAGCGACTTATGAGTGACCAGGAGAGCGACTTGCGACTGACCAGGAGATGGGAGCTTCCACGAGTATGGTGCCAGAGCTTCAAAGACACAAGAGGGAGTTTATGGCTTGATGGTTGAATGGGTTCAGGAGAGACGAGCTTCAAATTTTATCGTTAAATTCATTCTTTCGTCCAAATTCTAGAGGGCAGTTCCCAACCAAAACAAATTAAAACTAGGTCCCAAAAGACTTGGCTGTTTTTTTTTTTTTTTTAATTTGTGGGACATGTGGTAAATAAGTCCCCTCCATGGGTTTTATATGTAATTTTTCCTTCTTTTATGCAAATGAATGAAAGAGCAGACAACAATATTCAGCGGCCAAAACACAAGGAAGCATCAAACTATAACTTATATTCTTGATCTATCTAGAGTCGAAGAATTTTGAGAAACCTGCTAGCTATGAATCCCAAGTTACAGAGAAAAGTAGTTATGCCGAATGATTTAATGTCAAAAGAGCATATTAAATTTAATCCATTAGTGTATAAATATATTTCCTCATACTTAGTTAATAAACAATTAAAACTGTTCAAAGCCAATAGCTGCTATATTCTGGTATATTATGAAGAAAGAAAGGCTATAAATGCAATCATGGCCAGGAATTCATTTTCCACCACAAAAGCTTCAAAAATAACAGAAAATTGTAGTGAACAACCGTTAATCATCATAATTCCATCTTCTTTACTTTATTCATGATATTTCTTGAAATAAGGCCCCTATCCACCACATAATTCCAGGATGAACATGAAGTTTTGTTTTCACTATCAAGAGGATTACCAAAAGATTTATAGATTTTAATTGTTATCATCAACCTCCTCCTAGTCATCTCTTCGAATATATTTGCAGCCTTTGCATTCCCTGTTCCAATACGCATAAGCAAGAATTGCCTGATATACCCCTTCCTTCCATAAGATCAAATAACTTCTGAGCACATGGTATCCTTTCTAACTTACATAAACTTCTTATTAATGCCCTGAATATGAAACATCAATGCAAAGACCTTTTCTAAGAAACTCATCTGGGAGTGTAACAACAGCCTCTTCATTGTCTTTCTTGCAGTAACCATCTACTATCCATGAATAAGTGTAGTGATTGAGGCAAAACCCAGCATTAAGCATGGAAAACATCTCTGATGCAAAACACACACGCACACACTCAAACTAGCTCAGACAGAAAGGACATGAGAGTAGGGACAGAAACAGAGACTTAGATGGGAGAGGGAGACAAGAACAGAGAGAGGGGAAGAGAAAAGGAAGGACAGAACAAAGAGGGAGGAGGAACTGAGAGGAAGAGAGCGCAGATTGGAGGGAGAGAGCTTTCAAAATTTCTCAAATGAATTCATTCATTGAAAATCTCCTTCTGACTACATGAGTCACCCTATTTATAAGTGTGAGATTTCCTTCCTAACAAGGAAATCTCTACCCACTTGCTGTCTGGTTTCCTTCACAAGAAGGAAACTTACAAAAGTTAAATGAAAAGCAACAAAACTAATAAACTAATGAAAAGCAATAAAAAACTAATAAACTATTTCCTTCTAAAGTAATGTTTGCCACATTTTCTATCAATTCCCCCTTGCCTCAAAGAACTCTCCTCTGAAGAGGTAGAGAGTTGATAGGCTTCCAATAGGGCAGGATTAAGTTGTTGGAATTCATCTTCTGAAATCCAAGTGGCATCTTCATCCGAACGATCTCTCTAACGAACCAAATAATGATGAAGGGGCCCCTTAGAGGTAAAGACCATTTGATCATCCATAATGGTCTCAATTTTGTCAACTGATAGTGAGACAGCTAGCAATGACAGAATTGGCACCAGTTGAGGCCAAGTATTTGCAGATCATCAAAAAGCAAAGGGAGAGGCTCAAAAGTTCCCTAGTAAAGCATAAGATCCTCCACATTAAAAACTAAACTTATGGCCATATCATGAGGTAATTCTAAAAGATAAACATTAGGGTTTAATTGATTTGCAATGCGAAAAGGTCTAGAAACTCGAGCATGCAACCTTTTAAAAGCATGTTGAGGGTAACATTCTAGACGAATTTGAGCCATAACATAGTCACTTATAGTAAAGCTTTAAAATCGGCGATGACTATTGGTAAATAATTTATATTGATCATTGCTCATTGCTAATTTACGCTTAATGTTAGCACGTAATTCATGAAGGTGATTGGCAAAGGATTTGGCAAATTTAAAGATGCGAAATGTCAACGGGATTGGCATAAGGTCAATAGGCTATTTAGAATTAAAACCTTGAACAATTTGGAAGGATCTCATTCCTGTGGACCTATTTACAGAATTATTATATGCAAACTCAACAGTGAGTAAAACCAAATCTCCAATTAAATGCCAAAGCAAATTACCCAGACTTTGACCAGTAACTTCAGTTTGCCCATCAATTTAGGGGTAGAAAGCAAAAGAGAACTTTAACTGGGTACCAAAAAGTTTCCAGAGGATCTTCCAAAAGTAACTAAGAAACTTAGCATCCTTATCAGAAAAGATAGTAGCAAGCAACCTATGCAAGTGCACAATCTCCTTAAAGAACAACTTCACCAAATTTGGAAGGATCTCATTCCTGTGGACCTATTTACAGAATCATTATATGCAAACTCAACAGTGAGTAAAACCAAATCTCCAATTAAATGCCAAAGCAAATTACACAGACTTTGACCAGTAACTTCAATTTGCCCATCAATTTGGGGGTAGAAAGCAGAAGAGAACTTTAACTGGGTACCAAAAAGTTTCCAGAGGATCTTCCAAAAGTAACTAAGAAACTTAGCATCCCTATCAGAAAAGATAGTAGCAAGTAACCTATGCAAGTGCACAATCTCCTTAAAGAACAACTTCACCAAATGTGAAGCATCTGTAGTTTTGCTACAAGAAATAAAGTGAGCTATTTTTGAAAATCTATCCACAACAACCATATAGAGTCATGACCTTTAGCTGTTCGAGGCAATACCAAGACAAAATCCATACTTAAGTCTTTCCAAGTTGCCTCAAGGATTCGCAAAGGAGTAAACCAACCGGTATTCAACTGTCTAGCTTTAAAAGTTTGACAAGTTTGACATTGAGACACTACGCGAGCCACATCATACTTGAGTGAAGGCCAATAGAACCTGTCTTCTCTTCGACTAATGCTATTGTCTTATTAATACCAAAATGAATGGCTAAACCTCTAGCATATAACTCCTATATAAGAAAATCGCAATCGCGTATAGATGCACGTGGGATGCATAGTTTGCTTCCATGACAAAGATGAATGTCTTTAAGGATGAAATCAAAATGCTCATAACGGTTACCAAATTTTAACTTCTTGATATATTATCCCAAAATTTAGGCATGAAGCATAGTCTTCCTTTAGGTTTTAAAAGCCAACAACACTAACGCTCATAGTGTGCAACAAGTTGATCCGTCAGCTCAAAACGTCATCCACTTTGTTTTTTGTTCTTGAATGATGCTTGACTATGAAAGTGAATCCCTGAATATACTCAACCCATTTAGCATGTTTAGCATTTAAGTGACGCTGAGAGTTGATAAACTTAAGCACTTGATGATCAAAGTAAAGAACAAATTGTTAAGGAAGGAAATAGTATTTTGATAGAGCCCCTCATCATTTTACTAAGACATATCAAAGGAAGTCAAAGGGGAAGAATGATTCTAGTAGAATAATAATGACTGGTCCAGAGGTTTATCCTTCGGTCTCTAGCCGTAAGGAAGAGTAGCATGTGATCTTTTGCCATAATTAAGATCTTTTGGGAGGTATGGGCTAAGGGGAAAGCCATGCCATCCATGCTGTGGTTATATTTTATCTTTTTGCTTGTATTGAGGGGGTATCTTTTGTAAGAGAATGGAGAGGAGAGACTGGCCTCTCGAATGCCAAAAGGAGTGAACCCTCTTGTGAGGTTTGAGCTTGTAATGTTATTACTTTTTTGATCATTCAGGGGAGATAGGGTTTTGGCCAGAATCAGAGGAAGACTTGTAACTCTTATTCGGTTTCTCTCAATTTATTAATATCAAAACCTCAGCATTTTCCCTTCATTTATTGTTATTACTATCTTTGTTGCTGTTTATGTGGAAATATTGGTTTGGGTCTTATTAATTGGTATCAGAGCAGTACGAATTCTGGGTAGTTAAGAGAAGTTATGGCGGATGAAGTGCAATATTCTGAGTGAGAAGTACAAGAGTTAAAGGAGGCAGTCTGGGTATTGAATAGGGATGTAAGTGACATCAAGGGAACCTTGAAGACTATTAGTGATACTCCGGCACAACTAGAAAAGAAGGTGGTAAGGCCACGTGAGGAAGAACAAGAAGACACTCATCATGCAGAATCTTTTAAGAATAATACAGGGGGTGGGACAGAAGGAGGTAAGTTTCGGAAACTGGAACTACCTGTATTCTCAGGCGAGGATCCTCTCGGGTGGCTTTTCAGAGTGGAACAGTACTTTCACGTCAACTTCATAGCTGAACATGAGAAGCTCGAAGCAGCAATAGTATGTCTGGAGGGAAAAGCAGTGAATTGGTACCAGTGGCTTGATACGCAAGTACCATTGAGTAACTGGTCGGAATTTAAAAGGGAGTTACTGCAGCGATTCCACTCTTCACAACCCGGTGGTGAGTATGAGCGACTATTTACAGCTAAGAGAAGTCTATGCTAGAATTTGTAGAGGAATTTAAACTACTATCGGCACCATTAAAGGAAGCTTCCAAGGAGTGTTTGATCGGTGCATTCAGGTCTGGACTTAAGACAGATTAAGGCTGAGCTGAAGGTGACGAAGGCTGTGACTCTGCGGGAACTGATGGAAATGGTAGTATGTATTGAAGAAAGAAATCGGATGCTGGATGACTGCAAAGACACAACAGGAACCTGAGTTTAGCGGACCCATTTTGGATCCAAACCCGATTTGACCCAGGTCACTTATTTTCCACGCATGACTCACGTGACTGAGGGAGGAAGGAATGCCAGTGTGGTCGCGTCTTCTCCAGTGGACAGTGCAAAGAAAAACGATGCTAGAACAGAGCCTTCAAAGACCAGGAGCAGCACGAATTCTGGAACCATAGCGAGGAGAGGAGGAAATTCTCGCCGACTCCTTGATTCTGAAATTGCAAGACGCAGAGAGCTTAGGCTTTGTTTCAAATGTGGCGACAAATATAGCCCCACCCATTAATATAAAAATAAGAACCTTTAAGTGTTGATAATAGAGTTAGGAGCCAACACAGAAGGCGAAGAAGGGAATACAGCACTCAAAACTGATGGTGGATATCCTGAACCTACTGAGGACGATACACAAATGGAATTATCTCTTAATCCCATGGCTGGGTTTGGTGATAACCACACCATGAAAGTCAAGGGGAAGATTGGAGACACATATAATCATTCTCATTGACAGTGGTGCCACCCATAACTTTATTGCTGAAGATTTGCAGAGTAAGTTAAGTCTACCCTCTGATGAAATCTCTGAATACACCATTATAGTAAGGGATGGGTATGCTATAAAAGGGAAGAGGCGTTGTAAGGATCTATGTTTAAGTGTTCAGAATCTTAATATAGTCCAAACTTTCTACCCTTTTAAGCTGAGTGGAGTTGATGCAGTGCTTGGAATGGAATGGCTGAAATCCTTAGGAGATGTTAAGGTTAATTGGAACCAATTAACAATGAAAATTGGCAACAAGGATAAGAGAGTATGCTTGCAAGGGGACCCCTCCCTTACTCGGGCCCAAACTACATTCAGATCTCTAATTCGTTCAGTAGGTAAGAAAGGAGAAGGGTTTTTGATTGAATATAAAGGGATTACTAGCAACACTGAAGATACAACAATCTTGAGCCTAAAAATTCAGAATTTGCTAGAAAAATTTCCTACAGTCTGCAAGGTTTTGGAAGGCCTACCTCCACCGCGAGCACAAAACCACGCTATCATAATTAAGCTAGGGGAGCAGCCACTAAATATCAGGCCTTACCGATAACCTTATTTGCAAAAGAATGAAATAGAAAACTTGGTGAAAGATATGCTGAAGTCAGGAATTATTCAACCAAGTACTAGTCCTTATTCAAGCCCAGTATTGTTAGTTAAGAAGAAAGACAAAAGTTGGAGGTTCTATATTGATTATAGAGCCTTAAATTACTATTCTGGATAAGTTCTTAATCCCAGCGATTGACGAGTTGCTAGATGAATTGAAGGGAGCTACAATTTTTTCCAAGCTGGATTTGAAATCTGGGTACCACTAAATTTGAATCAAGACTGGGGATGAGCCTAAAACAGCATTTCGAACACATGAGGGGCACTATGAATTTAAGGTGATGCCTTTCGGATTAACTAATGCTCTTTCCACTTTTCAATCATTGATGAATGAGGTATTTAGAGAGTACTTATGCAAGTTCGTGTTGGTATTTTTTGATGACATTCTCATATATAGCAATGGTCTAACCTCACATTTGAAGCATTTGGAGACTGTTTTCTCTATCTTGAAGGAAAACCAGCTTGTTATTAATGTAAAGAAATGCAGTTTTGTGCAACCAAAGATTGAATATTTAGGCCATCTAATATCAAAAGAAGGGGTGCAAGCCGATCCAGGCAAGATAGAAAGCATGGTGAAGTGGCCTAAACCTAAGAATGTAAAATCTTTAAGGGGATTCCTAGGGCTGACTGGATACTATCGTCGATTTGTCAAGAATTATGGGAAATTGCTAGTCCTCTTACTGATCTACTCAATAAGGATTCTTTTAAGTGGTCCCAAGAAGCTGAAAAAGCTTTTGATCAACTCAAAACAACCATGACTACACTACTTGTGCTTGCCATGCCTGATTTCTCCCTTCCTTTTGAGTTAGAAACTGATGCATCGGGAATGGGAGTAGGGGCTGTTTTGATGCAACAAGGCAAACCAGTGGCTTATTATAGTCAAAAGCTTTCAAATAGGGCTCAACAATGCTCTATTTACGAAAGGGAGCTTATGGCTATTGTAATGGCAGTCAAGAAGTGGCGTCATTATCTTTTGGGGCACAAATTTATCATCCGCACTGATCAAAAGGCTCTGAAATACCTGCTGGAACAAAGAGTAGTTGATGAAAACCAGCAAAAATGTGTCTCCAAATTGATGGGATTCAAATTTAAAATTGTGTATAAGCCCGGGACGGAGAACAGGGCTGCTGATGCTCTATCTAGGTAAGACGAGTCACTTGAACTAATGGGATTTTCATTATGGCAGTATGATGACGTGGAAGAATGGGAAAGAGAGGTACTAGCTGATCCAAAATTGAGCAAAATTCTGCAGCAACTCATTATCGATAAAGAGGGAGTAGAAGGGTACAGCTTGATACATGGCTGTCTACACTACAAGGAGAGGTTAGTTCTACCAAAGGAGTCCACCAGAATTCCTTTGCTCCTCAAAGAATATCATGACTCCCCAATGGGGGGCCATTCGGGCTACTTACACACCTATAAGCAGCTGTCTAATGTTGTGTATTGGGAGGGAATGAAAAGAGATGTCCAACAATATGTGGCAAGTTGTGAGATATGCCAAAAGAATAAATACCAAGCTTTATCCCCGGCTAGGCTGCTGCAACCATTGCCTATTCCACAAAATGTGTGGGAGGATATTAGCATGGATTTTATTACTGGACTTCCTAAATCCAAGAGGTATGACACAATACTAGTTGTGGTGGACAGACTTACCAAATATGCCCATTTTTTTCCATTATCCCACCCTTTTTCTGCCAAAGATGTTGCTGAAAGCTTTATAAGGGAAATTGTCAAGTTGCATGGGTTTCCTAAAACTATTGTTTCAGATCGGGACAGGGTTTTTATAAGCTACTTTTAGCAGGAATTGTTCAAGCAAGCTGGCACGCAACTCTGTCTCAGTTCTTCTTATCATCCAGAATCAGATAGGCAAACTGAGGTGTTAAATAGAAGCTTGGAAACTTACTTGCATTGCTTTGCAAATGAGAAGCCTTCACAATAGGCTAAATGGCTATCTTGGGCTGAGTATTGGTATAACACTTCCTATCATGGGGCAGCCGGTATGACACCCTTTAAAGTGGTGTATGGTCAGGATCCTCCAGTGTTCTTGAAGTTGAGTGGTGAACCTTCAGCTATAGAAGATGTAAACGAGCAAATTCAGGTTCGGAATCAGATCATCTCCCTCTTACGGGACAATTTGGCTAAGGCTCAAAGCAAAATGAAAGAGCAAGCCAATAAACATAGAAGAGATGTCCAGTTCAATGTTGGAGATTTTGTCTATGTGAAATTGAGACCCTACAGGCTGAAAACGTTGGCTAAGAGAGTCAATGAAAAGTTGAGCCCTCGTTTTTATGGCCCTTTCAAGGTTCTTGCGAAAGTTGGGAATGTAGCCTACAAACTGGAATTACCACCCACAGCTCGCATTCACCCGATATTTCATGTTTCACAACTGAAACAATTTGTGCCTTCGATGGTGGTGAACCCTACCATTCCTCCTTCCCTTTCTAGTGAACTAGAACTACAAATGCAACCCAAAGATATTAGAAGGGTTCGTCGGCTTATGAATGGACAGCAAGAAGTGTTGGTTAAATGGCACGATCTACCTGAATTTAAAAATTCCTGGGAAGGTGCAGACTTGATTCGCAAGAAATTTCCAGCATTTCCTTTTGAGGACAAGGTGAAATTTTTAGGGAAGGGTAATGATAGAGCCCCTCATTATTTTACTAAGACATGTCAAAGAAAGTCAAAGGGGAAGAATGACTCTAGTAGAATAATAATGACTAGTCCAGAGGTTTATCCTTCGGTCTCTAGCCGTAAGGAACAGTAGCATGTGATCTTTTGCCATAATCAAGATCTTTTGGGAGGTATGGGCTAAGGGAAAAGCCATGCCATCCATGCTGTGGTTATATTTTATCTTTTTGCTTGTATTGAGGGGGCATCTTTTGTAAGAGAATGGAGAGGAGAGACTGGCCTCTCGAATGCCAGAAGGAGTGAACCCTCTTATGAGGTTTGAGCTTGTAATGTTGTTACTTTTGTGATCATTCAAGGGAGATAGGGTTTTGGCCAGAATTAGAGGAAGACTTATAACTCTTATTTGGTTTCTCTCAATTTATTAATATCAAAACCTCAGCATTTTCCCTTCATTTATTGTTATTACTGTCTTTGTTACTGTTTCTGTGGAAATATTGGTTTGGGTCTTATTATATTTTTAATGCTCAAGAGATCTCACAATCGCATAAAACTCCTTGTCATAAGTGGAGTATTTTTGTTTTGCATCATTAAGCTTTTCGCTAAAGAAAGCCACAAGGTGACTTTCTTGGCTTAGAACACCTTTGATTCCTGTCCTAGATGTATTACAAGCAACTTCAAAACACTTTGTAAAATATGGTAAGGACAAGACTCGAGCTTCAGAAAGCTTCTTCTTAATATCCTGAAAGGCTAAAAATGCTGTAGAAGTCCACTGGAACTTGTCTTGCTTTAAGCAGTTAGTAATAGGAGCCATAATGCCACTAAAGTTTTTAATGAAGTGTATAGAAAGAAGCAAGGCCATGGAAACTTCATACTTCACAAAGAGATTCTGGCCCAAGCCATTCTCAAACGGATCAGACTTTCTCAGGGTCAATTGCTAAACCCTTTTTAAAAACTATAAAAACTAGGAAAATGACTTGATCTTGAAGAAATGAGCACTTGAGCAGGTTAACATGAAACTGTTCTTGACGCAAGGTGAAGAAAATAAACTCAAGATGTTCCAAGTGTTCCTCTTTAGACCTGCTAAAAACTAGTATATTATCAAAGTATACCACTAGGAATTTTCCTAAGTGTGAGCGAAGGAGGTGAGTCATTACTCTCATAAATGTACTTGTGGCATTTCCTAACCCAAACAACGTGACAAGCCATTCAAACAACTCATCTTGTGTCTTAAAGGTAGTCTTCCACTCATCGCCACTTCTAATCCTAATCTGATAATAACCAATCCGAAGGTCAATCTTTGAGAACTAACTGGATCCATCCACCCA